CTTCACCTGCTCCCCCCCACCGACCAAACTGTGCAGCTCTGCAGCTGCATCCTGGCCCATCCTCACCCTTCTGCCCCCAACCCTCACCTCTTTGTACCCCCAATATGTTTTTCCCAATGAAAAAAATTTTTAAAAAGAAAAAGAAACACAAGTGACGACTATACACATGGACCTCACTGATGGCCCACACAGTACTCAGATTGATTATATGTGTGGGAGGAAAAAATCATTGGAGAAGCTCAATACCAGCTGTGAAAAATAAACCAAGTGCTGTTTGTGGGCCATCAGCTACTTGTATGCAAGTTCAAAGGGAAGAAATCAAGAAGTTAAGGACCTGTACAGAAGATTTCAAAAGGCAGCTCAGGAAGACAAAGCAAAGTATTATAATTAAATGTACAAAAAGCTGGAGTTGAAAAATCAAAGAGAATGAATTAACTCAGCATTTCTTAAGCTGAATAAACTGAAGAACAAATTCAAGCCCCTACTTGTAATACTTAAGGATGCAGTGGGCAGAATTTTGAATGACCCAGAAAGCATAAAAAGTAGAAGAAATAAATCGAGTTACATGCCAAAAAGAATTGGCTAACACAGAAGAATTTCATGAAACAACATATGATCAAGAAATAATAGTAAGAAATAGGAAGTTCAAGCTTCTCTTGGGAGCTGAGAAATAAATAAGGCTCCAGGAATTGATGGCATACCAATTGATGCAATTTAAACAAGCAGATGTTGCTCTGGTTGTCCTCACCAGGTTGTGCCAAGAAATCTGGAGCACAACTACCTGGCCAACTTACTGGAAGAGATTCATATTTATTTCTGTTCCATAAAAAAGTGATCTGACAGTGTGAAAACTACTGAACAATATCATCAATATCACAACTAAGCAAGATCCTGCTGAAAATTATAAAAAAAAAAACTAAAAAAAAAACGACTGGAACAGTACATCAACAGAGAATGCCAAATGTACAAACTGGATTTAGAAAAGGCTCTGGCACTAGGGACATTATAGCCAATACTAGGTGGATCTTAGCTGAAAGCATAGATTACCAGAGGAATGCCTATCTGTTTCATTGACTATGCAAAGGCATTTGACTGTGTGGATCACAATAAATTGTGGATGACCTTGAGAAGAATAGGAATCTCATAACACTTAATTGTGTTCATGCAAAACCTATTCTTCGTCCAGAAAGCAGTCATCAGAACAGAACAGGGAAGCCCTGTGTGGTTCAAAATCAGGAAAGGAGTGGGTCAGAGATAAATCTTGTCTCCATATATTTTCAATCTATATGCAGAACAGATTAATTGGGAGGACAGACTCTATGAGGAAGAATCAGGATTGGAGGAAGACTCATCAACAACCTGCATGACACAATGACACAATCTTGCTTGCTGAAATTGAGGAGGACCTGCGGCATTTGCTACAGAAAGGTCAAGGACTGCAGTCTTCAATATTAATTGAAACTCAACATCAAGGAAACAAAGATTCTCACCACTGCGCCAATTGATAGATAGAGAAGAGATCGATATTGTTTAGTTTCTCCTTGCTTCTTTCCACAATCAACATTGTTGGCACCAGCAGTCAGAAAATCAAAAGACAAATTGCTCTGGGAAACTCTGCTGTCAGGGACCTCTCCAGAGTACTGAAGAGCAACAATGGCAGTCTAAAGACCAAGATACAACAGATCCAAGCCATAGTCTTCACAATTACTTGCAAAGAGAGAGCTGAACAATGACTAAGGATGATAGAAAACGAATCAATACTTTCAAGTTGTGGTGCTGGAGAAGGTTATTGAACTTCAAGATAACAAACAATTATGTCCTGGATAGGATGAAACTGAACTGCTCCTAGGAAGCAAGGATTCTGAAGCTTCATCTGACATAGGGGCATGTTGCCAGGAGGGACCAGTCCTTGCAGGAGGACATTATATTTGAAAGGCTGGAGGGTCAGCACAAGAAAGGAAGATCCTGGATGAGATATATTGACCCAATGACTTGGGTCATGAGGGTAGGTGTGTCAGAGACAGTGATATTTGCTCAGGATAAAGCAGGTTGCAGAGATGTTGTACATAGGGTCACTATGAGTAGCTGGTGACTTAAAGGCACATAACACCAACAGCAGCATACCTGAAGTAAATTCCACCTGGTCATGGAGTATTATGCTGAATTTTTGTTGATGATTTTCATGAATAAATGATATACTGGTTTATATTTTGATAGTACTTGTGGTGTAGTCCACAGGGAATTGTGCTGCCAACTCAAAGGCAGTGGTTCTCTGAAGGTTCAAATCCACTAGCAACTCTGAAGGAGAAAGATGAGCAATCTCCTCCATGCGACTTACAACCTCCAATACTCCATGAGAGGGTCAGCTATGAGTCGCTTTTGAGTCGATGCCAATGAGTCTTAGTTTTGTGGGTTTTTTACCAGAATTAGTCCATTTTTTCTGAGTTCTTATAAGTATTAATGTAAATTTATTCTAGTATTTCCATACGATCTTTTTTAATGCCTTCAGGATCTATGATGACAGTCCCTATTTGGTGATTCGTATCTTTTTAAATCTAGAGGTTTATTAAGTTTAGTTATTTTTCCCCCAAGAACCAAGTCATTAATTTTTTCTATGATTGTCCATCTTAACATCATTGATTTCTCCTTTAATCACTTTTTTTTCTGATTGAGTTTATTTCCTTTTTCTGATTTTTTTTAAAGTACGATCTTACAGATTTGAGGCCTTTCTCTTTTTTTGAAAAAAGTTATTTTAGAGAAAGTTTACAGAAAGGATAGGTTTTCATCAATTCATTGATATATATTTCTCCCCATCTTTGTGATGCACATCTTTGTAATGCACATCTTGTTCCACACTGTCAGTTGTCATACACAGGATATCTAATCATCCATTCCCTTCAGATAGTCCCTTCCTTCTCTCATTCCATTGTGGTGTTTATTATCTATCAATTCTTTCATTGTTCTCCCCTTCCCTGTGTCTGTCTTATATTTTGAAACAGTGGCCCTCTACAGTATTTGTTCTTTTGGAACTTAGATATCATACTTAGCCTAATATCATCCAGATTCACCCATGTTGTGTAGGATTTTACAAGTTCATTGGTTTTCAGTGCTGTATAATATTCCATTATGTGAATCTAGCACAGTTTTTCTATCTGTTCATTTCCTGCTGGGCATTTAAACTGCTTCTGTCTCTTCATTATTATGAATAGCACAATAAACATGGCTTTGGTTTCTTTAAGGTTTAAATATAAACCCTATCCAGTAGTAGGATAGCTGAGTCAAATGGTATTTCTATTTTCAACTTTTGAGAAAACACCAGATTGCCTTTTACATTTATGTCCCCATCAGCAATGAATGAAAATTACAATCTCTCCATATCCTCACCAGCATTTGTTGTTTGTTGCCCTATTGAACTTTACAATTGTTGCTAGAGTGAGATGATATTTCATTGTTTTTCTTTTTCTAATGTAAGCATTTGGAGCTAGAGTTCCCTTCAACATTGCTTTCATTTCCATCACCCATATTTTAACATGTTGTGTTTTCAATTTGTGTGTGTGTGTGTTTTCAATTTTATCCAGGTGTATTCATTTTTAAACTTCTTATTTCACTTCCTCTGTGACCTAGGAATTTAATTTTACAAAATTATATTTAATTTTATAAAAATAAGTTGTTTAATTACCAAGTGTTTAGAGATTTTCCTGCTACCATCATGGGATTTCAATGTCTGATTAACGATCTTTAGGTATTTGCAACTAATACTGAATGTTCTAAGCCCTTTGTAAGGCTCTCTGGTGGCATAATATGCCACGTGTCAGATTACTAACAAAAGGTGCTTCAAATCTATCAGACACTCCTTAGAAGTAAGATGGGCAATCTCCTCCCATCAATATTTACAGTCTTGCAAGACTAATGGAGCATCGCTGTGAGTTAAATAGATTTGATGGAAGTAGGTACATTATTCCACTATTCGTTGTAGTCTCACAGTGCAGCAAACTGCTTGCAATCAGAAAGTGGTAAAAATGGGAGTGTCAGGAGAATTGTGTTTAACAGCCTCTCATACCTCCTTCTCCCTCTAGTGATGTTTCCCTGTGGGAAGATAGTGACAAAAAAGAGCAACAATTTGAAACATCATGTAGATAAAGTTGACCCTCGACTCATTGATGGGAAGTTGACCAAATGGGGAGAGAGTCCCTGGCAGGTAAGGAGAGGCAGCTGGAGCTTCCTGCTCAGTGATTAGACATGGAAAGGGAAGTGCTCTCTTGACTTGGATAAGACAAGAATGTGATTTTCATCAAAAGGTGATGGAGGTAACCCTGACAGAAGAGGAGAAGGTTTTCAGGAAGGAGAGGTGCATATGTTTAAAAGTTCTGCTGCTAAGACTTTTTGGCAGAAGCCTGATTCATGGAACTAGTATTTGGCATATAGATTGGTCTTTCAATAACTTTCCAGCCTCAACATGTGAACTGATACTGAATTACTACACCCTGCCCTTTGTCAGGCATTAGGGCTAAAGAAATCAGCATGTAGCCTTGGCTTGGGACAGCTCATACTACTCTGGGAAGCTTGAGCCACTAGACATACAGTTACCAAGCGGGAAAAAAGCTAAGGGGGAAGCAGCACAGCTGCAGGATCCCTGAGGGAGAGTTCAAGGTCTATTCTTCCCAGAGGACACTTAGTCTGACTCCAGCCTCCAAGACCAAGAACTCTGAAAGGTGCTACTTGACATGGCTAAAAATGGCCACAGCAACAGCATGGGCAAAGGCAGAGAGAAGCCCTAGAATGGGCCACAGGTGTCCCACCTAAAACTATAGGAAATGTAAGAGAATGGCAATAAGACTGTTTCTACATCACCAGAATACACAGGAAAGGCCTAGTAATAATGTAGCTGTTCCTCTTCCTCTATCTCCAGGCTAGAAAACCATGTTATGACTCTCTGAGACAGCAGGGCCTTGGAAGCAGATCTGTTAACTCCTTCCTCTCATCATTGTAGGTGATCCTGCTGGATTCCAAGAAGAAGCTTGCCTGTGGGGCAGTGCTTATCCACCCTTCGTGGGTGCTGACTGCAGCCCACTGCATGGAGGATGCCAAAAACCTCATTGTCAGGCTTGGTGTGGGCAACTACAAATCAGGGACCTACAAAAGGGGTGGGACCAAGCAGACTTGCTGGGTTTGAGGGTTGTTGGTATCCAAGGTGCTCAAGTAAGAAGTTTCTTGGGCACTACAGGTGTGGAATTCTGGCCACTCAGTGGTATGCTCTAGGTAGGAGATTATCTGGGGCCCTCTTAAAAGCTGGGCTTTGCCTGGGTGCAAGCCTATACACATTGGTATTTTAAGTGAAAGGTTGCCTCTTCTCTTCCACCTAAGGAAGACAAGCTGTATTTGGACCACTAGTATCCTTGATCTACACTATCCGGCCAAGCCCATGCCCACACACCATAGTGGAAGAGGATGTGCTGGGATGGCCTGGTAGCAGCTTAAGAGAGAACTTATTCCAATCCCAGATGTGCCTGGTTTGAATCCACCAGATGCTCTGCTGGAGGAGGGACAATCTCCTCCTGTACCAGTCAGATCTGATTTGATGGTACAATGCGCAAAATATAATAAAATAAAATAATTTTAAAAAAAGAATGAACTTACTCTTACCACTACCTATTTCTATTAAGTAGGCTTGAAGTTCTCAAGTCTAGGTCTTACCCTGTAACAATCTCCTTGTATGCTATAAGAAGAGTTTGCACAAGTTTTCATACAAAAAAAAGAAAGAAAAGAAAATTTACACTGCTACAATTACCTGGTTGAGACTTCTATCTCTTCCTTCCCATTCACTAGTAGATCCAGCTGCCCTACTTGATAGACTGTATCTCTATGTGGTTCAGTTCTTTCTTCCCCTGATATACCTTGTCCATTTGCTATCACATCCTGGAGAGTCCTTTCCTTGTACCCACACCACCTGTGGAAGTCCCTCCAGCTGTAGTTGCTCCACATTCCCTTTGAAGTCCGGGTCTGAATCAGTGGATCTCCAGGAAAGCTGCAGCCTTATTGCCATTAACTATGGCTAATTACTTCTCTAGCTGCACTGGTCATCTGCAGTCATATAACTGTGTCTTTAAGTAAACTCTGAATTTAGAGCAGCATTATGACTCTTTGTGGTTGACACCAATGGGCCTTTCCTTCTGGCAGGCAGGTAGTCACTCTCACTTGTCATCTCGGGTGCAAACATCTTAGAAAGTGCTAGAACATGCAGAATATGATCCATTACAGGGCTAGTGTGAGCACAGCAGGCCCTGCGAGAGGCTTTCACCACCCATTATGACCTACCCTCCCTTCTCTTGCAGGCGAATATGACCTTCGGCGTTCAGAGAAGTGGGAAGTGGACTTAGACATCCAGAATGTTCTCATCCACCCCAACTACAGCAGGAGCACGACTGACAATGACATTGCACTGCTGCACCTGGCTAGTCCTGCTACTCTGTCACAGACGATCGTGCCCATCTGCCTCCCAGACAGCGGCCTTTCAGAACGTGAACTCACACAGGTTGGCCAGGAGATGGTGGTGACAGGCTGGGGCTATCGAAGTGAGACAAAGAGGAACCGCACCTTCATCCTCAACTTCATCAAGATCCCCATGGCTCCTCGCAATGAATGCATCCAGGCCATGCACAATATGGTCTCAGAGAACATGCTGTGTGCAGGCATACTTGGGGACCCCAGGGATGCCTGTGAGGGTGACAGTGGTGGGCCCATGGTCACCTCGTTTCGTGGCACCTGGTTCCTGGTAGGCCTTGTGAGCTGGGGTGAGGGCTGTGGACGCTTACACAACTATGGCATCTACACAAAAGTTAGCCACTATCTAGACTGGATCTATAGCCATATTGGGGTCAAAGATGCTTCCCTTGATAATCAAGTTCTGTAATATTACTAGTATCCTATTTGTCTTGGAATGGGACCTTAGTGGGATATTAAAAGGGTCCTGTAACAAGGACATAGACTGCTGCTGTGCTCTTTTTTCCTTCTAAACTTTGTGAAGTTACACTCATGGAAAATATGCTGCCTTCCCTTATTTTAAGTTTTTATTAGTTAAATACACCATCCTAGAGTAAATATGTCTGAAAATATCACAAATAAAAGATTTTTTTCCCTTTATTCAGCAAATTAGGAGGGAAAGACTTCTAACAGCAGCTTCTGAGAGCCTGGGGAGGGGTATTTTTTCCATATCAATCTTTCTTCTTTCCTTCCTTCCTTCCACCCTCCCTTCCTTCCTTTTTTCTTTTTATTTGCCATGGGAGTAGACACATTAGGACAAAAACATTTACATGCATACATACACTGTATATTACAGAAACACAATAAAAGTGTTTGTGACAGAATATCACAAAAGCCATATCTCTGTTTTCTCATGTTTAGTTTTTATTGAAACACATTTCCTTACAACACTTAAACATACAAAGAACAAATAGAATGTTGTTAAGGTAAAACACAGGGTACAAACTCTGGCCAGTGCCCTGCTAATTGTTAATGAGGGTTAAAAGCAAATTTAAATGCTTCTTTTAACCAGCTTCATTAATCATTTTCCTTCCTTCCCTTCAAGCTTCCTTCCCCCAAAGATATCCTCCTGTGGATCTTTCTTCATTTTCTCTATAGTCTCACATTAGCCCAGGTTCATGGAGTTCTCACTGTTCATATTCATATACACCAATAAACACAGGAAGGGCAATCAAGGCTAAAGAAGGAGCAAAGGCAAAGAGCTGGCCCTGGTGCTAGCTACAAAGATGACTTGTTTACTGAAGGCACATGGGATCTGACTTCTGGTCTGGCAGTAATGGATTGCTCTAAAGTGAATTCAGGTAGCCATTGGTGAGAGCTGTAAGTCTAGGATGTTCACAGAATTGCCATTCATGTAGTGAAACTCATTTCCCTGGACCAGGCAATTCCTGCAGCTGGAGTGTGTAAAACATTTTAAAGACTATATATTGCCTTGCATTCTCAAGACTAGTTCATTCACAGGAATCGACTGTCCCTATGCACTGCAAGCTTCACTATTCCCAAATAACCTAACGTCATTTCTGCAAAGGATTATGCCACTCTTGGTATACAGGAAGTGCCAATGTTGCCCAGCTGTGCCTGGCAGCAGCAGCACTTGAAACACTGACTGTGTCAGTAGCTAACTGTCTATGGCCTACAGCAGAAGGCAGCCTGTGAACCACTTTCAGTAGTGGGAGCTGGCCATCACCAGGGCGGCTGCAAGCTGCTTCCCAGATGCACCATGGTCTACTTTCTCCTATATTACAATATTGCAAGTAATGCCAGTGGTGAAATGCAAGTGAAACCGCTCAACTTCCAGGGAAGGGGTCCCTCCGCCGTATGCACAGATTCTCATTTAATCATGGCAACAGTTCTGTGAGATGCAAAGTAATATATAAAAGATTTATATGGCTTGAATCGGGTCATTCACATAGTAAAATATGATTCTACAATGAAAAGAGTCCCTTGGAAGAGGCCTGCAAAAGCTAAGAGTTTTGAAGCTTAAACTTCACACTAATCTCAGCTATGTTGTTGTTAGATGTGTCAATTCGAGTATGACTTACCAAACCCTATGGAACCCTATGGACAACCTAAACGCGTTTTATCCTGTTCCATTTTCATCTTCTCTGGCACACTTTGAGCCCACTGCTGCAGTCACTGGGTCAGTCCATTTCATTGTGGGTCTTCCTTTTTTCCACTAGCCTTCCACTTTTCCAAGCAGGATAACCAATTCCTGTAGCAACATGGTACTCAGAAAATATGGACTTAGTAACAGAAGTGAGATGGGAAATTGAAAGACTGAATTTTATATGCTCAATGATTTATTCATCACATATACCTTAAAAATTAATCAAAACCCCAAAACAACTTAGCTTATAGACTTCACCTGGTAGATTACAAAGAAGTCAGATTGACAACATATGTGGAAAGAATATTTGGATATACCCGATATCAGCAATCAAAACCGGGGAAGTACTGACTATGGAACATAGTATCAATTTGTCATGTATAAGTTCAAATTAAAGTTTAAGAAAATTAAAACAAGTCTGCAAGAATGAAAATACAACTTTAAGTCTATCCCCACCTGAATTTAAAAATTATCTCCAGAATAAATTTGAAAAGACTAGTCTATGGTATAAAAGGACTGCCAAATATAGGTAGAAATACACAATCTGAAGAGGATAAAATTGAGGATTTAAAGATTAAATCTCTGGTCCTCATAAAAAATCTTTTCCAACAGGGTGAAAAGAAAACCTACTGACCAGAAACAAACATTTGGCAATACCATCTCAGACAAGGGTCTCATAACAAAAGTTTACAGAATCCTACAGGGCCCTTGTGGCCTAGTGGCAAGAAGCTGCACTACAATCCCAAAGGCATACAGTTTGAGACCACCAGCTGCTCTGTGATGGACAATCTTCTCCTGTGTGATTAACTGCCTCTAAAAACCCACTGGAAGGTCAGCTATGAGTCTGTTCTGACTTGATGGTATACAACAACAACATCAACAACAAAAGGGCCTCCAGAAGAAAAAGACTGATAATCCAATTACAAAATGGGCAAAAGATAAGGAAAGACTTTTCACAGAGGAGGACATTCGAATGGCCAACAGACACATGAAGAAATGTTCCAAATCATTGGCAGTAAAAAGGATGAAAATCAAAAGCACAAGGAGATACCATCTCACATCAGTAGCAGTGGCAAGGTTTAGCAGGGCAGCAAGTAATAAATGCTGGAGAGGATGTGGCAAGATAGGAACTCTTATATATTGTTGGTAGAATTATAAAATGGTACAACCACTCTGGAAGGCAGTTTGGCATTTCCTCAAAAAGCTGTACATAAAAATTTCGTATGACCCAGCTATTTCACTGCTTGGAATATACCCCAAGAAAATGAAAGCTGAGGAACAGAGACTTGTACACCAATGTTCATAGCAGCATTACTCATCATAGCAAGTGATTTTGTGGATTGCTGCCTAGCATGGAAGGAACTGGAGAGCATTGTGCTGCATGAACTCAGTCTCATGGGGAAGGATACTGTATGGGACCATTGTTGTAGAGTGTGTATAGGGATCCAAGGGGGAGGGGAGCTTAAACATAGGGTTGCACAATTTGATAAAGGAAAGAGTCCTGTGTGAAAAATAATATATATGAATTTTATATGTAAACCAGTATAAAATTATTACCTAGATTGAGAGGGACTGAAGAGCATTGTGCTGAGTGAACTAACTCAATCACACAATGGCAAATACCATTGTTGTGGAATAAGTATGGGAATCCAAGGGTAAGAGGGTGGAAGCAGAGGGATGAGGATGTAGGGACCAGGAGTCTGGAAAGGGAAATTGGTCATGGAGTCGCACAATTTGATGGGGGGTGGTGAAGGAAATGGGAAGGATCTGGTGTGAAAAACAATGTATTTTAATTTTATAAATGAACTAGTATTTTAACAAAAAAAAGAAAATAACACAAACATTTTGTGAAGAAACAAAGACCGAGCAGATGTAGCCATGTAGTTGACCTCTAGTAATAAATCGACTTCTTCGCATAGAACCCGGGAGTAGGAGGCTAACAGTTTAATCTCCTTCTCCCTTTCACCTCCTGGGCAGCAAGGCGAACTCCATCCATATTCACTGAAGCTCAGCTTTGATTTCGTGTGTGTGTGTGTGTGTGTGTGTGTGTGTGTGTGTGTGATATTCACATTTTTTTACTTCTTTTTTAAATTTATTTAATTTTGGTTTGTTTATAAAGTGTGTATACAATGTGTTTCACACTGTTCTTCACATTGTGTTTCATACAATCATTCCCATGCGTTATGGTTTTGGGGTTTTAAAATTTTTATATTTTTTAATATTTGTTTATTTGCAAAGTTTGTATGCATTGTTTTCCATGCTGGATCTTTCCCATTTGCTTCACCTATCCCTCCCATCAAATTGTATGACCCTTTAGTCTTCTTTCTTCAGCCCATGTTGGTCTCCATTCTTTGTTACCATCACAAGAAATATTATCGAAGAAAGACTTTATTTTGTCATAATAGCATTTAGGTTCAAGTGGATCTTGCTCATCAGCATTTTCCTCACTGTTTTGGATATCCACTCCTGTGTCTCCTTTATCTTCACCGTTTACAGGTTTCTTCTGCTTCTCAAGTTTATCTTCTTTTAATTTATTATGGAACTCTCTTTGGAAGCAGGACTGGCATCTACTTCCTAAACAACATGCCTCAGAAACTCTATGAACTTTGATAAATGTAGATAGTTATATAAAGGGTCGCTATGAGTCATACTGAACTTGAAGGCAATCAACAACAACAATATGGTTGACCACCTTGCCCCCTTCCCATCCTCACCTCTCTGCTACGCCAGCTCCTCTCTTTTTGGATCCTTCTATTCATTCTGCAGTGATGGTCTTGTGCTGTGTTGCCCTTGTGGGAGTGGGTTGGTTCATTTAAAGTGGTGCTCTCCAATCCCTCCCAGGTTAGGTGGTAATTTGCAGGATCAATGCTCCTGCATGCTGGGTAGTATTCTCCACCTTTCCAGTACACACACATTATCATTCTAAAATTTATTGTAAACACATTGATGCAACTTGGTGTATACTACAGCAAATATACAGTGTGATTTTTCTTTTTATCTTCAGCTACATTTTTTTTTCACATTAGCACAATCAAGTGTTCTGGGATTCCCATTCTTCTCAGGAGGCAGTTGTCAGAATAGAGCAGGAAAACACTGAATAGTTCAAAATTGGGAAGGGTGTACGCCAGGGCTATATCCTGTCTCCATACCTTTTCAATCTTTATGCAGAACAGATTATCCAGGAGGCTGTGCTCTATAAGGAGAAATGTAGCATCAGGATTGGAGGAAGAATCATCAACAATCTGTGTTATGCAGATGACACA